TCAGTAATCCTGAAATCGATCAATAGTTTATAGAACTGCCAAGCAAATACAATTTAAATGTACAGTCGTACATTTATATTTTATACATTGCATTCAACACCATGATAAAATTTTTTTTTTTCGTCAAAACAATAAATAACATTAAGTCAAAATAATATATTATGATTAGTACAGTAGTGAAATTAATTTAAAAACAAACAGAATCAAACCAAATTTCTGATCATCCGTATGGCGTATATCTAATAAATAATGAGATTTTATCGTTGTAGGAAGCCAAAATACATCAACAGTTTGTTTTTTTTTACTTAACATTAATTTTCGTGTAAAATATTAATCAGATCACACTAAGAAATAAAAATAAGCTAAAATTTTAAGAAGTAGAATCTAAAACATATAATATCTGAAATATTATTATAAATATTCATATTTCGTTATTCTTGTTGACCTTAACTAGTTGTTAGTTAATTAGATTTTCGGTTTCATTAATTATTTATTATTACTCAATTATGATAATATAATAATTGTGTAAAAAATAAACATATAATGTGATATTATCATAATCACCATTATTATTTTCCTGTATTGTTAATCAAAATAATTGGGTTTGAGTCACCATTGTTTTCGTTCTTGCCATTTCCACTTCAAACGTTGTCAACTTAACAATATATACAATTTCAAATTAATAAAACTGTCATAAGCATTCAACGAATAAAAATGTACAAAAATAAATAAATAAAAGAGGCATAATAGTGTTTACTTTGTATTGAAATATCAATATTTTTTATTTTTTTTTTATCAGACACTCTTCAGCACGAGGAAAATATATACGAAATAAAGCTCTATAGTGCCGAACATAATATAATCGAAACCATAATATATAATTACGCATTCAAAAGAATTCAATCAAATACCAAGTAAATACCGAAGTGTCTAAATATAATTAAATAATTTCCAAAGAATATCAATTCAACCAAACATAATATTTATTAGGTAGGTAACATTTTAGTAATGAGAAGTTCCTAATTATAGTTTTAACCAGTGAAACATTTTAAAATACGAAAAATTAAATTAAAAAACATAGTTAAAACATAAAATTACGAGTACCTATATAACTAAATCTTGCTTTAGATTTTGAAAAAGGTGATAGTTTTTTTTTTCAAATACATATACCAGGAATGTGCTATCATTATTTTATTATTCTAGTTTTTTAACTAGTAACTTGTTTCTATACWTTTAACTTTATGTTATTTAACTCATACAATATTAAAAAAATTTTCCAATTTTTYATCATAGTCGTAACTAGGATTTAACTGTTTCTAAAGTAATACTCTTAGAAAACTAAAGTTCATAATAAACAATTGTCATTAAAAATATAATGTTAACGATAAAATATCATATTTTTTACAATTGTAATTATTTAGTTCAAATTTTAATAAAATATCATTATTGACAATCTTATTAGATATTGTATAATTTTCTAGATTTCTAGAAAAGCAAGTTAATTAAATTTGTTTTGGTTCGTATTTGAACTGATATTATATGTTTTACATMTTTTTATTTTCAAGCTCGAAAATGGATAATAATAATTTATTATATTATACAAAATATATAATTTATTATAATTACTACACACGACAGTTATTTTTTTAACTAGGATAGCTTTCCCCTATATTCGTTTTAACGTTTATGATGGTGAAGTATCGGATGCCCAGACTCTTAGTCCCTTCTATCTCTCCCCTAGTCACGCCGATGCCGAAGTTTATATTTGACTAGTGCTCCAGGATCTTAGGATTTCTATGGAACGTGTATATATTAAATACAATCTAATGAGTTTGATGTTTGTTTCATTTCAACATTATATCATATAGTATCAAAATAAACACACGCAATAATATAGAATATCAAACCACGATATACGCATTGCATGGCCCGTTTCAACCTATTATATCATAAACAGTGGYGCYAAACCCTATGTTAATGTAGGACAACTTACTGTCCTACATATGAAATTAGTCAGTTAAAACTATAATAATTAATTACAAAATAAGTGAATTTAACATGATTTTTTAATGTTAATTAGGTTTTAAAAAAGTAAATCTATTTATTTTGGTAGCATTAACTAACAAATGAATGGGTGGTGAGTGGGTAGGTGAAACGCATGATAAAAATGTGGGGGGAGAGGGGAGTGAAAAAAATTTTGATAAAAATATTATACTATTCATATTGTATTTATGTAGGTCGGGTAATTTATTTTTTGTTCCTGATATAGGGGGGGGGGGGTTAACACTAAATGTTTGTCCTACATATTTTTTTTTACTTCGGCGCCACTGATCATAAAACATTTAAAGATACCCAGTTAAGTAACGTATTCAAAAGTTTTATTTCTAAATTTTAAATTAAATTCGGATTTTTTATCCATTTAAATATTTTATATACCAGTAAAATATAAAGCCATGTCAGCATGAATATAAATACAAATTCAATGCATATAATGTACCTACCTACGTCGAATAAAACACGAAATATCATGAGTTTTTTATATTAAATTAATTAYATCGAAAATACTTACTATTTACAATTTTTCTTATAGATATTTCGAATTTAAAATGTTAACAAAAATTAATGTAGGTATAAGCGAAAAAATATGATTTTAGTCGTATTTTTTAATTCACAAATATCAATTTATGGGATTGAATCTTTTTCGTATTAAATGATGGTAGGAATGAAAATATGTCAATTTATTATTTTTAAAATATTTAAATTATTTAAAATGTACAATAAATACCGTAAGGTTAACATTTAAAAATTAAAGTTAACGTCGTTATACAAAGCTTTTTATACCATTTAAGGATTTTGAATGAACGTAAGTCTTAAAATTTGAAAATTTGGTACATTCTATTTTAAGTGTAATGAAAAAATCAGAAAAATCAAATAATTTTACTAAATGTGACGTTAAAAAAAAAGTGATAGCGATTAGTATGCTTGGTGAATCGCACCCTTTATACAACCTATTATATGCATGATAATGATATATTGATGCGGGTAATCGCATGCACAAGAGCCATGGTGTGTTTAAGAACGGTTTATTTTTAACTAAAATCCACCGAAATTTCGCCTAGCACGGCCAAAAAAAAAAAATAATAAAAATAAATATAGACTGGAAAAAAATTGCACGCATTTGCGAGTGATGCGAAATCGTTTAGAGCGATTCCGAGTGCCGACGAGCGTGTCGGTCGGGCGTAACGATATTTAACGTTCCGAAAACACGTACCCATGTCGAGTCAATACATGTAGTAACTTTATAACGTGTAGGTACTACGTATATAGGTAGGGATTAACCGTGGCGTTTAATAAATCGGCCCAATTGAAAACGAAAAATAAAAAGATTACATGAATCGTCGGAAACCACGCATTTGAACGTTTTACACTGATAAAGTCGGGTGGGTCGTCAAACGCGTTTGGTCATCAAAGTGCAGCTTTTACTCGTACAGTTATATAATAATAATATAATGATTGCCAGCGGCACATGTTATATTCAATGTCTGGAGGCGATCGKTTACATCAATTTTACGGAGTTGCATCAAGTTACGTCATTAGTAAATTATATTGATGATATTGAAAGTTAGTAGGTACTCTGAAATAGAGATTTTTAAATCATTTAATGATTTTTAACGAACCGCATCTTTCATAATAATTATTTTTATGAATCCTCGAGAACGCTGAAATCAAACCRCTAATCGTGCAGTGAGACGAAATGCTTTTATTTTTATACCGAGCTCAAACGAAGCTTTTAATTTACGATCGTATTATTATGTTACCCAAGTTAAAATAAAATATTGTTTCCATCATTACTATATTTATTTTATGGAATTTAATCGTAAGATATAGGTTTAGAACATTAATATGTAAAGAAAGAAAAAAAAATTAACTATTTCTTAACTTGTAATAATCATTACAATAAGTTTAATAATACAATAAATTATMTATTCCCAAAACTAAAATACCTATTGTACCGTGTTATATTATATTATATTATTTATCTTTCAAGTCCTAGATAAATCATTACTTGTTGTATGGTATTCCCTTCTGGAAGTTCTCTCGCATCGAAGCCAGCTTTTCAAAATACCGTATACCGTAACTGAAACAAAAAGTAACTGCGTTAGATCGTGTGTGAACTTAGATATACTAAAAGTCTAAAATAAAGTGAATAGTGAAGGTTTTATTACGATTCCTACTCAAACACACATATTCACGTACATGAGTAGGTAAAATAAATATATGTGTGTATGTATGTGTTTTACTATACTATACGTAAGGTTGTGATGTGCGAGTGTGGTGTTTGTAAACGGTCAAAGGGTCGTAATTTTCGTGCCAAAATGTATGGAGACATTTTAAAAAGCTTATTTTCTCTGATAAAGAAACACTATTTTTTGCTATAAAGCTCAAACATATTTTTTTTACGATACCGCTTAATGGGAAAAAACTCCTTTGTATAAATCACTAAACCTGATAAAAAAAATAAAAATTTTTAATACTTATCGAATAATATTAGTGGTTTAAATAGATTTCAGAGAAAGTTTGATTTTCCGTTGCTCATGTTCTTTAATTACATTGTTATTTTATTAATTTAGGTTCGAACGCCCTACTTATTCTTATTTTTTATCATTTTTTACTTGATAAAATCACAAAAAGCTTCGTTTAACAGATAATTTTATTGTMTCATAGAGATGTGACTTCGTTAAAATATAATACGCGGGTATAAAATTCAAAAGTTACAAATTATATTATTATCATTATCTATCATCTAATAACGCTGGCTAAACTAGYACTTCCAAAAATCCACGTGAAGGTATTTCTATTCCAGACATATTTTTCAATTATTCTGAATGTTAATTATTTACAAAAATATGTACACAAAAATGAACAAACGTCATATATATAGGTA